CATATCCCTATTAAAAATAAATGCACAAGGCTTTAAGTGAAAGTCACAAAGAATAAAAATAACCACACAGGTTTCTTTCCAAATAAAATATTAAACACTGAATTGCACAGAAAGATATCACAAAGATCTTCTATGGTTGGAAACCACAGCCTTATACTTCCAGATAACGTTTCTTATAAGAAGATAATCTGAATATTCAGTGGAACCCTTTCAGCTTCTGTTTGGAGATAGCAGACTTCCATCAGTGGGAGAGGAAGGAAATAATTTTCAGTGTATCCCGTTCCTCCCTGTAGTGCGTATTCTCCCTAAAATCTGCCTCAAGAGTAGAGGACCCCAAAGAGCAAATATTGAGTTGCTGGGAATACTAGGGAAAGACAATTATTGCAAACTGTCCCATGCTTACTCTACTAGCAGAGGGACATTAGCTGAATTCCACCCAAGAGTTAAGATGTTTACATTTACTGAAATCACATTTTTCTCATTATGTCTCATTGAGTCAGTGGTGACTTGAAGCAATCCCAGATAAACCTCCTCCAGGATATGCCTCCAACCTGGTCCTTCAGGTCTTTCAACCCATCACCATATGCCGGTGGCTTTCCGGGTGCGCTTCAAGGTGCTGACCATCATCTTTAAAGCGCTCCATGGCATCGGACCTGGATATCTTCGAGACCGCCTCCTGCCGCAGATTACCTCCCATCGGCCTGTACGCTCCCACAGAGTGGGTCTCCTCAGGGTGCCGTCAGCCAGACAGTGCCGGCTGGCGACCCCAAGGGGGAGGGCCTTNTCTCCCTTCCTTCCGCCGCGCCCTTAAGACATGGTTATTTCAGCTTGCAGGACTGGCCTAGGGGAAATTTTTAGCGGGGGTTTTAAAATTATTTTAAATTACTTAGGCCAATTGTTAATATTTGTCTTTTAATTAGGTTTTAACTGTAGTATTTGGTATTTTGTAGTTGTTTTATCTGGCTGTTAGCCGCCCTGAGTCCATAAGGAGAAGGGCGGGATATAAATATAATAAACATCAACACCTTGCTACTATGCTTTGCGTTCTTTTCCTTCCACTTTTCCTAGCATTATAAACTTCTCAAGGAAGCTAGCTTTTTGTATAATCTATGTAATATATCTTAAAATATAATTTGAGCTTGGTCATTTGCATCCCAAGTGAGAACTCTGGATTGATTTATTCAATGATCTATTTGTTTGGGTTTTTTGGCTACTTGTATTCTTAGAGAGTCTTTCCAATTCTGAAGTTTAATAAGTGTTTACCATTGTCTTCTTTCATACAATATGAGGCAATCATCCACCTCCAGCATTTTCCTATATCACTGCTGCCAAATATAGGAGTCTACTTGAAATAACCTACAACCCTCAGGTGACTGAGTATCTGTTGAACATGCAAGTCCTGATATTCTTCACTCATTCTTTCAAGGAATGCACCCATCACTGTCACCATGATGAGGAAGTACACAGCAGGACTTGAAGAAGCAAATCTAATTAGACATTAACTAAATTAAGTTATACATTAGTCTATTAAATCAGACAATACTATCCTACACATGTATTTTAAAAGATGGATTTGGGGAAGTGATCCAATAAGCGAAGCAATTCAAAATTTGATCAAATATTTGCATATTATAAAGTATCTGGATTTGATCTCTATTATATGGAGTAAGTTATCTCTGAAAGAATAGATCCAAGTCTCTTGAACTTTAGTTACTCGGAGTTGCTGAAAAACAGCACTGACCTTGTTGCATGCTTCTAATATCTTATGCAAAAATTAACCATATGTGAAACATATTTCAAAGGTCAGCCCTAGAGACTACAGGAGCATGGATGATAACTGACAGATCTTTCCATTTAAAGCATTGGTATCCAACCATCTGGCTTGCTGGGACCACACTGAGTGAAGAGGAATTATCATGTATAAGATATGTAAGAAGCTAATGTATATAAATGACATAATGTTAAACATTTACGATCTTGTGGGCTGCATTACTAGCTGTGCAGGCCAGGCCTGCATGAAGCCTGAGGTCCAGATATGCCTGATACAAAGGATACAAATCAATATTTCTGGTTCAATGGTTGTCAGAAAAAAATATTTTTACCTCTACTTTATTTACAATATAAAAGGCTGTTTATTAAAATTAGATATGACATGAGACATTTACTTTGGTTTAAGCCTGGAACAATACAGCTACTTGAAACATTCAGTGAGATTCTAACTTGGGTAAATTCTAATGGATTTAAATTCTGCCATGTTGTAATGGGGTAAAATGGAAAATTTTCCAACCATGAGGAAAAATTGAAATTTGTTAATCTGTTATTTGTGTTTTATTCCATACCCCATTATCCATCCTACAGAAAAAAATGGGATTAAAAAAATACCTTAAAGAAAACACGCTCTATCTTCTTATAAGGCTATAAAAATGTTACATCAGAGTTTTGATGCATTTTGTAACTGCAGTATTTCCTCACATAGGCAGATGATAAAATTGAAAGTCAGCACATATTAATTGTAGCAACATCACAAAAAGATGTTCATCAAGAAGCAGAAATCTTGGCTGCAGTTTAAGGTAAAACAGAAGATATATCGTGACACAAGCCATTCAAAATTTGCCTTAACTAATGCACAGATTTCTTTTAAAAATGTGTTAAGTGGTAATAATCATAGCTAAACATGGGCTGAACACTTTTTATAAGTAAGTCTTCTATTTATGTGAATGTACTTCTTTAAAAGCATGGTAAAACAATGTTTTAATGAAATTTCAGGCACTCCCTGGATTCAATGACCAATCTCTCTAATTTATTTTTCCCTTTGAAGGACGGAAAATTGGTAATGTGCTACTTTTATCTTTGTCTCATCTTCAAAAGTTTACAAGTATACCACAAACATTTAAAGCAAAGCAGTAGTATATTTAGTTCTAATTATTTCATAGCACATGATACTTTCAATTAAGATTTCACATTTAGCTAAAGCCACCTGATAAATTCAACAAATGCAATATTCAGGAATTGGTTTATTTTTGGTTTACAGACAAAGGCACCCAAATATTTTTTATTAAATAATTATTTAAAATGCTGTTTCTGAAATCTATTCTTATACTAGGGAACTCACACTGTAGAGGAATGTTGTTTCTATAGTCCTAATTCTAAATTCTGGCATATTCAAGGGATCTGTTTCATAATGCCTTTTTCTATCACTTCAGATTTGACAATTCTTTTTGAATTTTGAAACTTTCCAGGCTAATATTCAAATTCACAGATTTTTCCTTTAGGTTTGAAACAACTAGTATTGATATTGCTATATTAGCAAGAATAGCATGACAATATTTAGCTACGAAAAAAGCATGAATCACCTAGATGTGTGGAAGCCTGAAAGATTTGTCTCAAAAAAAAAAAAAATGTTATGGAGAGTTGTGTTATTTCTCAACTGTATTTGTTTTAAGGAAACCTATAATTTATTCCATAAAACAAGATACACAGGAAAAAATGACTACCTAAGTAACATTCAGTTGTCTTACCAATATTTATTACATCTGTGTACACATGTACACATGTACCAATACTCTTGCGTGTTAAGTTCCAGACATCTATTTCAATGTGCCAAACTGATCTATGGTCAGTGAGGAAGAATTTAGGGAGCAACGGTGACAGACAGGTATAGTAAGGATGTTGCAAATAAATGGTAAAATGTTACATCACAAAGTTCACAATTTATTGTATTCCACCATTGCAACAGCAGTCTCACACACTCTTTAAAAGAGTATGGTCCTTGACCATGCAATATGTTGTATCCCTGTAAATATTATATGCACATTTAACTTTTGTTTTTTAAAAATCATATTTAACTATGAGAAAAATAGTTAAATTTTAACAAGGAAACATTCTTTTTAAAAGTAGAAGCACAATTACATGGAAGATTTTAACAGTGGCATAAAGTTTGAATGTGGAATAAGAAGTGTAGGACACATATGTCTTGTGCATAACACTTGTATGGTTCATTCACAATTTACTTAAGCATAGTAATAAAAATAGATATACTAGAAGTTGATCAGATTATCCTATACCACACCTGGAAATGTGGGTTATAACAAATAAAAGCATATAAATTAGCACAGAATGTAGGACATGTCATGAAATATAAGAATGTAGAACATGTCATGAGATATAAAAAGCATGTTTTAAACGTAGCATAATTCAAATCTAGTTTTTATGGGGACAGTTGCAAATGGATGCTCACTCTAAATCAATTTAAACCTATAGAAAAAGATATTAGCCCAAGTAGGAATTATTTAACAGTTTCCATGTTCTACATTTTTGTTTCAACTATTTCTACTGAAACTACTGAACTTATTTAGCATAAATATACTGACTCCCAAATGCTAAATAAAGCATTTGGTAATTCATTTTTAAATTATATAGGTAACACAGGGAACAGACTTTTTTCCTATTCGGATCTCAAGTTCCTGATCTGCAGTGAAAGTTTCTCTTGCTGTATTTAAGGGACAAATTCACTTATTTCATCATTTTCTCTTTGCACCCTCTTTTATAGCCACAATTCAAAAAGCTGGAGATAAAACACTGTGTACCAATGGCAGTTTTCTTCTTAAAAGAAACCTGCCTTTTTAGTTGAATGATGGGCTTAAGAAATAGGTGATGGAAACAAGCATTGTAATGCTTGTGTATAATTGTCAGTAGTGGTATTAACTGTTTCCTGTGGATTAATCTGCATGTATAGGTGTACTTGTAACAGCAGTTCCCCCCCACCCCCCCCAAAAAAGATTTTTTATTTCTTTTAGTAATTTTTGTATAGTTAAGAGCCTCTGGAAAAGAGCTAACAAGGAAAGATTAACAGAATGCCCAGTTTAAATAATTTACAAGGAATATTTCTCATAAGATTAACCAGAAAAAATCCACTTTGATTCTCAAATAAATTGCCACCCAAGAGAATAATTTGTTTACCTTATCTAAATGCGCTTATTTGCAATAAAAATTAAGTTTACTATGTTAAGGCAGATTTTAATTGAATGCATTCCAGAATTGCAGTTACACTGGTCCATGGCCTAACGTTTTCCTCATACAGATATAAATCTGCTTGGATATTTTACCTACATATTTGCCTAATGAGAGATTGATCCAGATTAGCCATATAATCTTCACAGAAATGCACAATTAAGCATCACATGAACTGTATTTCACAATCCAGATCTAATATTTCATGTTTTTACAAAAGACAAGATGAGTAGGTATATTATACGGCTTTGTGCCATTAGACCACCAAATGCATAGATGTCCTAATGCTGGAATTGTCATCTCTAGTATCTCATAGTGCTGGATGCTCTGAAGTAAGAGAGGAACTTGTAACATAGGCTAACAACAAAATACCAGATGTTTCTTGCCATTTGGGATCTTGCAATGAAAATTCGCCAGATGAGAATTACAAGTACTGTATTGAAGCCATACCGTATGTTCCTTAGCCTAGAGATAAATCAAATCAAGAGAAAGGGAAAAAAAGAAAACAAATGTGGGAAACTTAAGAAAACTGGCAAATAAGAATATAACAGCTTGAGGCAGAAACAAAACACATTCTTTATCACATTTCTATTTGATTGGAAAGGGATTTTTATAGTAGTGTGTACAATTTTGTTATTGACAATACAACAGTTTAGTTCTAAAAAAATCTGCATATCAGTAAACTATACTGTTCTGCAGTAGAGATTTCCTGTCATATCATAGAATTCTCCCATCATACATAAAGATTTTTATGCAATTCATATGCTCTCTTCCTATAGAGTACATATATTAAGAATTACAAGATAACTTACATTTGAAAGACTGATACAAACAGTAACATCACTTCCCAGTTTCTCCCCAACTTAAAAGGTTATCAAAACCCCAATATGTAATCTTCAGACAAAAGAGATAAGCAAGAAATGTGGGGAGTCTTGATGTAACTCACCTAAATTATTTTACCACAACACCTGTGTAGCATTTTTTGAAATGATTCCAATAAGAATGTCAATTATTTTAATATTTACAGAAGTGTTTAAATATTTATTATTTATTTATTTATTAAATTTATATCCCGCCCTTCTCCTTGCGGACTCAGGGCGGCTGACAATCGATTTAAAAAACATAAATAACAATTACAGAATTAAAATCAATTAAGAAAAAATATTTAAATATTGTCCGATTAAAATATGATTAAAACCCCTCTAAAAATTGCCCTAGGCCAGTCCCGCTTGTTGGAATAGCCNCGACGGCACCCTGAGGAGACCCACCCTGTGGGAGCGTACAGGCCGATGGGAGGTAATCTGTGGCAGAAGGCGGTCTCGAAGGTATCCCGGTCCGCTGCCATGGAGCGCCTTAAAGATGATAGTCAGCACCTTGAAGCGCACCCGGAAGGCCACCGGCAGCCAATGCAGCTCGCGCAGCAGCGGTGTTACATGGGAGCGAGTTAGTGTGGCATGCCTTCCTACATTTTTGACACTCACAAAATTACATCAATCGCAATAGCAATAGCACTTGGACTTGTATACTGCTTCATAGTGCTTTTCAGCATTCTCTGGGCAGTTTACAGAGTCAGCATACTGCCCCCAACAATCTGGGTCCTCATTTTACTTACTCTGGAAGGATGGAAGGCTGAATCAATCTTTAGCCGGTCAGGATCAAACTCCTGGCTATGGGCAGAGTTGGCCTACAATACTGCATTCCAAGCACTTTGCCCCTACAGCTCATTTTACATTCAGAATAATTAACATAAATATGTATTAATTTATGAAGTAAAGAAGTCAAGTCCACATACTTATTTAAGTGTTTCCGAGCTGCTGGGAGACCAGACATTTCTTCATTCAGTACATATTTCTTTGTTCCCATGCAGTAATTTTCCATATATTCTGCCCAATGTAACTGCCGAACGTCAAAATTAAATACCTGGTGTAAAAATTAAACAATGTATCTATTACTAACAAAATATAGTTTTAAAGTCAAATCAGGAGTACAATGGATAAAACATTGTTTCTTAGTAAAAAACAAAAAAAACCATCAGCTACCCACCCAACCTAAGGATTAACTTAACTTCCACTAATGATCCATAATATTGACTCCACAAATAAATTCAGATGCTTTGATCCCTTATAATAACCACAAGCACAATTACATAAGAAGCATGTTGATACCAATAGTCTTGTAGGTAGGGATATTTTACAGGAAACTAACCTGTCTTAATAGTCTCTGAAAATTTCAGCAAAGAGAAAAACACTATCGTCATCAATATTTTAAAATCACCTTATTTTAATATTAAAGATATTGTTTAAATTACCATTTATAAGCCCATTGTTATTATTGTGTACCAAAAAGTATCAGAACAGTGATCTCTAAAGATCCTTATGAAAGTTTTTTGCTGCATTTTATTCGGTGTTAGACACTCAATCTGTAACTCAGCTAAAAAGTTAAAAACCAACAGCATTTATCTTGGAATATTCTTGGAGTTATTCATAACAGAAATTTACAAATCAACCCAGGATCCTGTGTTATTAATATATAAAATTAAATGAGTTTGAATGTGGATCATATGCAGAGAAAGGGAGAAGGATCACTACTAAATAATCTTGTGCTACTACACAACACATGCTCATAAGCAAACGGTTGCCACACAAAGTTATGTTACAGAAGCACTGAACAATTACATACATATATCCAAAATGCAAAAAAAGTTGCACAGTATATTATTATGAAAAACAGTATATTGCCATTCCAACTATTATGGAGGACATTTGTTTTGAATGAGGTCAAAGGATTTGTTTCAATATCCTATTGCTTTTGATTGGAAAATTTGAAACTTTTTAATCTTCATTCCACTTGAAAAGAGCCAATTCAAAGTGTTTGGCAAAATTTTTTGAGTTGGGCTGTTTTATTCCTAGCTCAAAAGCAAACAGTTTTGAGTAATCAGATCCATCTCTAATTACATTTTAATTTCTATCTTAGACAGACAACAGTTATATAAAATATAAACATCCTTAACTAAACTAAATGTAAAAATGCATGTAAATTTGGAACATTATCTGCAGCACATTAATTTGTACTTGATATATCATTCTTAAATGGCTTTCTATCAACCTACCTTAATGTTAACACTTTAATATGTATGAGTTTTTATTTTACAACTAAATCTTTTTTTTTGTACTCTATGGAAAATATACTACTATTTATAGTAACTTTATTTAGGTTTATCTGGGATTCCAATGCAGCACATACAAAGATCTATCTGTATTTAACTGTGATTATGAAAATGAGCATACTGAACACATCTGGCATTTTATTGTTGTTTCAGAAAAACTACAGTAGACCAAAGCTAGGAACTATGGAAGGGGATCATACTACAGCTTTATCTTTTCGTTAGTTTCTTATGTTTTCATTTTGCTCCTTATTTGAAGTGCTATATGTACTATATTGTTATCAAGCAAAGCAATACAAATTAACTTGCCTTTTTGTCTTCAGGACTCAGCTGGCTCATAAGCATATTGACATTGTCTGTGTTCCAGTCCCAAGAATTACTTGTGAAGTACTCTAATAGCACCATAGCTTTGTGAAGACGTGTTATTGTTTTCATCATCCTATAGCCCAGGAAAACATGTTATTAAAGAAAATCACACTCACAACTGAAATATGACTCAACTTTTAGAAGGAAGGTTCCTCCACGGGATCCTTCAGTTTGCCAATTACACCATTAAAACTTGAATAGAATTTTCAAAAATAGAGTATTTCTGCATAGCATGTGAAATAATTTTTTTTGAAAGGCTGAGGTCCTTTGCTTAGGTAGTACTGTGAACACAAGAATCTATGTATGAATTAGGGCTATGCAGATATGAAGGGAAAACGTAACATCAATTCCAACTCCTTTAAACCAGTGCCTTTTTTTGGGATCATAATGCACTCCAAATCATCTTTAACCTTTTGAATTTGAAGCTCTGCACAACTCTAATCAACCACACACTATAATTCACAAAGAGTTCAGATTTGCATGAGATATTCCTTTGCCCATTAATTTAGAAATTGAAACGGTCGTGGAAGAAATGTTTCTTTATAAAACCATCTTTTTTTGAATACTGGTTATAAAAGATGCTTTGCATCACACTGGTTCAGACGTTTACTACTTATTATGCAGAAATATTCTATTCATGTTTACTGCCCCATCAGTCAACATTAAATATTTTGTTTGAATATAGTGCATTCTATTAGTAGGATCAACTTGAAAAATAGCTTTAAAATACGAGTATCGCTGAACTTGAATTTAGTAAACTCTGTTGCACTTTTTGTTGGCGCCGCTATAATATCAGCAATACAAACCCTAGAACCTTATTTGACAGCTATTTTGACCCTGACTCATTTCAAGATTGAACCTTATAATAGAAAGCACTGATCACCAGGAAGATAAAAAGGTGAAGGAGGAAAAGAAAAATCACCATGAAAAAAAGGTTGCTTTAGACATATTTCTTTTATTCAGTTATGATAAACTTGCTTATATTGAGGATATCCAAATGCAATTCTATTGAAAATAATAAGTGCATTTATTAAAAGGAAGACACACATCTGAAATATAAATAACAAGCTTCTGTAAAGGTAATTCAGAACAGTGAAACTATATATTATAGTTTCTATTTTTTTTTCCCCAGCGGATCTTAACAGCTTCTGGGCTATATTAAGAGAAATTGTACATTTCGTCCATGTTATATAGTAGCTGTCCCCAACCTTTCTGGCACCAAAGATAGGTTTCATTAGAAAAAATTATCTTCCATAGATCGGGGGGGGGACTCATGTGCAACCTAGATCCCGTGCATGCACAGATGAAGCTTTGCTTGCTCACCCGCCGCTTGCACGGCCTGGTTTCTAACAGGCCATGGTCTGGCACCGCAGGAGGGTTGGTGACCCCTGTTATAAAGTACTTTTTTCAAACATTTATAACCATAACATCTAGCTCAACCAAACGTATTAAAAACAAGAGTCCTTAATGATATAAAATTCATAAGGAAAATATAACTAAGTTTATGGAAAGGACACTAAGAGGCATCCTAGATTGTTTCTCAAAATAAATGTTGCACTAGGGTCTCAAGTTGAACTCATGTATATATGTATGTGTATATACATATGCATATCCATACATACATACATAAATGTGTATATACATATATACACATATACATCTTTCCTGGAGAACATTTCATTTTTCAAATCTGATAAGACTTCTCTTTCAACATTGTCACGATTTATTTTTAGAGGTTAGTTTGGTTTCATTTTATTGTCTGCTCGCTGGATAGTTGTGATTTTAGTTTATGATATTCTATCTAGCTTCTTCTATTGTTTATTTATTAAAGCACTTTTCTAATTATGTCTCCACTCTAAATATTATCAATCCTTTAAGGACGAGGTTAGGGACAGTTTTTCATGGAGAAAATGTATCTGATTGCTAAAAATCAGTATCAATTCTAAGAAACATAATCAATCCATACAAATTATATAAACAAATAAGCACATTTTTTTCTTATTTTCCTATTTGTAAACTGCTTCAGGTGATACCCTATTTAGTTATATCTATTATACAAAAGCTAGCAACTATATCAATAAAACATTTGTTTTATGGCAATAAATGATTATATTAAGCATATTAAGCTGTAATTGCCAAGCAATAATATAAGGGACTTAAGCCAAAAAGGCATCTGTTCATCTTCTACTCACATGAATCTATTAAATATTTTCTTCTCTGAAACATATTATTCTAAGAGCAAAATCATTTCTTAACTTTAGAACATTTTGTAGATATCATTGTTTATACTTAAGTAGTACAATTTTCATGAGCTGAAAACACACTTCCTTTCTTCAAGGAATGCTCCTCACAGAGCTTTTCTGCTTAAGAACCACTGTACATTTGCATGAATATTCCAATGTTGCAGATCCTGTGGAATTATTAGTGTCTGAGTTGTTATATATTATTTTTGTCAGGCAGATGAATTACATAATACAATTAGACAACCCAGAAAACACTCAAATCTCTCAAACTTACTTAATCACAATCCTGCAAAAACTGAAAGACACCATAGAATATATTCAGCCTTTTAACATCCCAAAATGGAAAACCTTTATTAATGAAACAAATTTCTTAATCAGGAAAAAAATCCAGTTTGACTGAACTTCCACACATTGCTACTCTCGCAAAGAATTCCAGAATTCTTTGGTGTTCCTTCACAAGTTTGTAAACTAAAGACAGGTCACAATGACCTTTTATGTAGTATTTAACATTCATAACATTTAATACCTTAGTTCCATCCCATTATTACAATTTGTTCCAGGTAGAACCATATTTTGATATCTCAGCTGATACAAGTTGCTGCACCCAGGCCATAGATTGGGACTAATTATAATAGCAAGTTATTCCTGAAGCCACTGATATTAACTTACAAACCCTACAGTATATTATTTGGAATCAGGTTATTTGGAACAAAATACTTTCCCTCTTTAAGATGCTTAGGATTTAAAGTACGGTAATTGAGAATTAGTTTTATTTTGATCCTCAAGAGTTGTTGGGAGAATAACATTAGAAAATTATCTGTGGATGCTTCTAACCTTTAAAACTCCTTACTTTGGCAAGGAGCTCTCTATTAATATAGTACATTAAAGTAGTGTATTTTTCCTATGGGTTTCTTCATATTTTTACTGCTGCATTCTATTTTTGTTTTCAGTTTTTGATTGTGTTACACTGATTCCTATTTTATTATTATTAATAGCTAAATAATACTACGTCTGATTAAAAGGTAAGACAAAAATTATGTAAATAAAATAATCTTTTCTAATGCTATTTGATATCTGGAGGATTTTTGCTAAAGGGAAGCTTCTACATGTTGTTTATGATCAACACAGAACATGTTTGCTAAAGGGAAGCTTCTACATGTTGTTTATGATCAACACAGAACAAGATGAATTTTAATGGATTGTACTTCTTGTTTATAATCCCCTCCTTTCCAGTATTAGGTAGCATAACAACATAAAGTTATTTGATACTGCAGACAAATTGTATTGCAAGTTTAATACAATTATGGATCTGGCCTTTGATTTTTCTATACCCTTCTATGCTCAACTTGTTTTATTTTTTAAAAATCATATTGTAACGTGCAAAACCTCATTTTGTCTCATATACAACTTTGTCAACAATAACAACTTCAAATAGCCAAAAGCCTGAAAGTTGCCAGAAGAAACCACTGCTAGGCTAAAAAATAATCTAGTCCTACTTTTCATTATAGAAAACTACACTGGATTTCTTTGCCAGCAAAGAAATGAAAATGTACCATGTGAAATGTCCCAATGCTTGACAAAATTACACAATATGCCGTCTGTGTGAACAATTAAGCAAGCACTTGAACTAAATTTAATCAAAAGCCACAAACATAGTTTTCCTAAACAGGACCGGGGAGTTACTAAGGTATTGTGGTCATAAATTTGATGATTTCTTAAGAGGGGTAGTCAGGCAACAGCCTGTTACAGATATTGCTGAGCTAAAAATTCCAAATATTTTCATACTGACCTGGCTTGTCTGGGATGCTAAGAATTATAATTATAATTAAGCAACATTGGGAGTACCACAGATTGCTTTTATCCCATTTAGCAGGCAACTAAAAATATATTCGTAATGTTTCTCCGGCCTTTTATTTTACTGTGATAAATGTTAAGATAAACTAATTCAGCATCTTTCATAAATAATAGAAGCAGAAATTGTCTCCTTCTTGGATCTCTAATTACACGTTAAAACACAATTTCAAAGGAAGTGCTTTTTCCTGTTATGGCCTATTTGAAACATACAGTACTTTGATATTAAAGTTTAAATTATGGTCGAAGCTTATGAACTAACTTGGGTGTACATATTCTACCTGACTTGTAAATTATTATTACAGAACATTAGACTGTTTTATTAAACCATTTCAGCAGGAAATGGATTACTTCAAGCCACTTTCTCATTCCTCCTAAAATGTACAAATACAGATATGAGGACTACCATTTGGTCACCAATGATGCTATATGATCATAATGTTCTGGAGAGATGGTGATCCAGTTTTCTGATTCCATGGTACTCAGTTCCAAAATGTGCTAAATTTTAAAATAAAATCTTTTTATCTCATAGAAAATCATTACATTTCAGCTCACTAAAAACTAATTCTACATTAGAAGACATTCTGAAAGGCAGATACTATCTAATTTATAAAATGAATCACTTTTCCTTTGTTTGATAGGATTCCAGTGTAAACAAGACCGGAAACAAACCATTTTATAAGTATATGTGTTCATCATTAAATAGGAATCTAATTTTCTTGTAGCAGGCAGAGTACGCAGAGTTTGTGGGATAAATTATTAGTTCACAGTGGTATGTTTTTAACAGATGTATCAACCAGTTAGTATGCAAACATGTTTAGGAAATACAAGCTTCGCTGGTAGGAAACATTTTTTTAAATCATTTTAATCCCAAATCCACCTTTCCCATGATAAAAATCAAGGATTTAAAATGACCTCAACTTAATATAAGCACATCAATGTATTTTTCGTGTTAACACTATGGAAGTAGTTTTTCAGGCATATTCTTTTGGCATATTATTTTTCAACCACCTACAGCTCCTGCCATTTCCTGGTGGTCTCCTATTAAAGAAGTAATCTGGCCTAACCCCTGCTTAGATTCCAAATCAAAACAAAGTCATTCAGGTGATGTAACCTACTAAAGCATGTTTTACAAAATTCAAATACAGTATATTAAGATGTGAGTTATATCTGAAAGTTGTATTACACAATGACTGAGGGGAGGGAAAGAGAGAATAGAGTTTCTGAGGGGAGAGGAAGAGAGAGAAGAGCTTCTGGGAATGGAAAAAATGTTCTCTACTTGAGAACTTTCTTTTAGGAATGTAGAGAAGACTACTAAAATGACAACAATGATACTAACAGATGCTCAGTATCCTTCATGGGAAAGTTGTTCTGAAGAGTAAAATTGCTGTATATGGACATGGAAAAATATTAGACTCATTCAACTGCCTTTGCTTGCTGCCTATATCATGGTACAAATGAAAGCTATTGCCTAAATTGTTATGACAAAAAAGTAAGAGCTGTGTCTGCTAAAATTATTTCTAACTCTTGGAATAGTATGTTAATGCTGTAGGAGAAATAATGAGTTTCCAAAGTCAAAGACATATTCATTTTCTCATAGGTATATATATATATATATATATATATACACACACACACACACACACACACACACACACACACACACACACACATACACATACCTACAATCTTTGACTTTGTACGTGTGTGTTTATGTGTATTTATATTTACAGATATAGATATATAGTTTCCTTCTCCTCTCCAAATACTAAACTACTGAAATAATATAACGATATATCTTCTGTTCCTTCACTTTTGGGGGTGGAGGCTGTGCAGTTTGAGCAGCAATTCTGCAAAAGAAAGCTTGAAAAAGTTGCCATTTTTAAATGTTAAGATAGAGAAAAAATATGCAGATTTGAGCAGTAAAAATATACATTTTGCCCGCTTAAAAAAACTCCTAAGCCAAAAGAATTATAAGCCAAATGATGGTGATGTAAAATATGTCCTAAGTTATCTAAATAATCCATTAAAAAAAACCATGTGTACCATAGTTTTAGTATTTCTATCCCTTTTCCCTCCCCATTCATTTTAGCTTATAATTTTCAATAACAGTGCTAGAGTAGGATGATTTGAAGAACATAGTAACTGCATGACACGAACCGATGACTCTAATAAAGCAAATGTCAACCAGCCACTAAGTCCCCAAAAATTTCCAGCTCTTTTACTGTTATTGTTGGTTCCTCATTAGTAAATCTAAGATAAAAAGCTCATGCCAATGATCTAAACTGCCACCAAGCTTCCATCACTTTTAGCAAAAAATTAGCCCTTTCTTTCTTACCACGGTTTCTGACCTGTCAACCTGAGAACAACATCGTATAAGAACGCAGGAAGTATGTGACCGACTGTAGTCCAATAATGATGAATAAAGGGGTTGGACTGGATTTTAAGATTGGGACGCCTGATTGCTTGTTCTAAAGGATTCCTCTTGAATATCAAATTTAGGTAACATTCTGTAGGAAAAATAAGGGTCAAAATGTTCTGAGTAGCTCTTGTTCAAAGAATAAATCCAATCATCTCTAGACATCCTAATGGGTTAACTACTCCATACTATCCCATTTTCACTGTTGCCGGAAAACAGCAGACTTGGAGTCGAACACTTCTGTGGATTTAACATTCCATTCAACGATAATTACGAAAAAGAAAAAAAAAGTGTTAATTTTGTTAAGCATGGGTTGTAAAAAGCCAGAGGAACACAAAGCAGAGCTAGTCACCATTACCTTGGGTTTCTTCCTGTAATCCTGAGGTAGATATCATACAGGAATGCTGGGGCCTTATGGCTTACAGCAATCCAGTAGTGATATAAAAGGTGATTGGATGTTAGATTTACATTGGGCCGTCTGAAGGCCTGTTCGAGAGGATTCCTCTTGAAAGTGGATATTACATGGTATTCTAAGAAAGAAAAGTTGTGTAACAGCTTTGATAATAACCATGTAAATGTACTGGACTTCCATGGACATCACAACAGATAGTACTATTCCCATTGATTTAAACCACATTATTTCCTATACATACTTCATTAACTAACAAAGTGAAAGCATTTTATTCAATTAGACTGTAAAATTACAAAACTTTCTCATTGGACTTGTTTGCATACCTAAGCATCACTTTTTAATTTTTCTCCCTTTTTCTCTTTGTTACTTATTAAATCTGTGTGAATAAATGAGAATAGAGTTTCATAGGCTTACCTTTCTATAATTTACATAATCATACAACACTCAGGCATGTTACATTAAAGCAACATTTCAAAATTAAGATATATAGTATAATAAATTCAAGTAAATATTAACAAACTCACTACATAAAATAGATTCTTTTTTTAAGGATCTGAACTGGTGCTTCCTCTACCTTAACCTTTATTAGTAAGTCAGCCAATTTTTTTTCTAAAGAAATAAGTCAATTGAAAAAAATACAAGCTTTCCTTTTTCCACCCATAAAATCTAACCAAAGAACTGTAAATAAGAGAGATTACCTCTAGGCTAATGCCTAGATTAGACAACTTCTTAAGTTTCAAATGACTTCTGGGAAATACAAAATCAATATACTGCATGGAATCTGAAAAGTTTAGAAACTAAAACAGTGGGCTAAATCTCAAATATTGGATGATGGGATCAGATGTCAGTAATAGTATAAATTTCAGCATAATACAGTGGCACCATATGAGCTAATGGGACAGAAGTAAAATTTGACTTTTTTTTTCTCAGCTTCCTGATATGTAAGGGACATCAGCAAATACTATGCAGTCTCAAAACATATTTCTTGTGTTTTAGTATTGTTTGGTAATATGTCCTAATCAGAAATGCTATACAGCCATACATCATAATTCAAATGCTAAGTAAAGCCACAGATACTGTATGTGAACACTGTTCCAAAACTTGGTCTGTATCAGTGCATTTCTATCAGAAAAATGAAGTTCTGTGACTTTTATACAATATGCAAATTTGCTTAGTTTTATAGACTTTTAAGGCTATTTTTACTACACCTCTGAAAGTGCAGTGTACACACAGGCAAATAAAGGGTGTGTAACCTTGTATTTCCTACTAAACATGCAGCTATGTGATTTACCCACATTGATGTAATACTGATCAAATACTGAAGTTTTTCACTCCTAAAGTGTTCTATTCGATTGAGTATAGTTTAAAATATACACAACAAATTAATGAGAATATAACTTGGTTCAGTTGTGTACATTTTTAAAGATGAACTTCAAACTGGATTATCTATTCAGCGAAAGAGCAAAAACAAAAAAAGTCCTTCAGATGTATCCAGATAGAAGGGAAAATATAGCAGAATTAAGGAGAATCACTGCTATTTTTAAAAGTAATTCCAACTGAGTCTAACTTGATCATGGCTATCTATATAAGCTATTTTTAAAATGAACTAATTATGAGAGGGAAAAAAGAGGCCTACCAACTTCACCCCAATGAAAGGGATTAGTGCCACCCGTTGTACAGTTGTATACCATAATATTTCTTGGCCTGAAAAAAAAAAGATTATATTTTTTTCTATATCATCAGTATAAAACAATTTAGGCACAGTCAAAAACAAAGAGAAGCAGAACAGCAGAAAACTGGCTGAATAATTATAAAAAGTAGAGCAACAGAAATATAAAGCAGCAGCCAAACAGTCAGTTAACATTACATTTACAAAACAATTCCGTGGGATTAGGATCCTCAAGGAAAGGCAGAATAGAAATTTTGATGCATAGCCATCTTTTTAGAAAGGCAAAAGGGGGGGGGACTACAGAAAATACATGCCTCTGGGTTTTTTAATTAAAAAAAGTTAGGGATTATAAGGAGGCTGTGGTTTTCAACTCATACTTGTCAGCATATTCTCAAACTTGCTGCAAATTTTGCCAGTTTTACAGGATTGACACTGACTACTTAAACCTCTTCCCTTCATTTCAATTAAAGAAAATGCCGTCTGTATGTTAAAAAAGAACTTGGCCAGGATGTGCAAAACAAACAGAACGTTTGGCCAGAACTAAAGTAAATCAAGGCTTTTCTGAAATCAGATTGTTCTGCTGTCAACAAAACATGCACATTTTATTTGAAATAGTCAGAATCTAGAATGCAGTACCATCCTTAACTCTGGGACAATATATTCAGATATTGCAAGACCATGTCTTGCTAAATTAAACAGCTGAAATCCTCTAAAGAAAGTTAACATATAGCATGTTCTGAAAAAAATGGATTCCTAATGCTGATATTTGTACCAGCATTTGACATTACCTGCTGCCTTTTGGCATTTTAAGTTCTGTACACCAGAGCTTGCCAACCTTTCAGGGTTGGTGGCCCAGAGCAGGGGGGAGGAGGGAAAAAAGGGATGGTTTTGTGGTGGGGTGAATGCATGCGCATGTACAAACACCCATTGCTCGCGCAAGTTGGGCTGCAAACTCCCACTGCACTCGTGGCGACATTCATGCGAGTGGGGTTCTGCAAACATGCACACTGGCCAGCCACTCATGCGGCCCTGTAGTCAAAAGCCCACAGCCCGGTAGTGGGCTCTGGCCCATAGGTTGGGGACCCCTGCTGTACATCATATTCAATATTTTATTTTTTGGCTTTTAGATTATTGCTGTTTCTTTTCCAGAATGTCTGTCTTGATGATATAATTCTTTTAGTGCATTTTTATTAATGTACAGGTAGACTTTGATTTACAGCCACAATTGGGACCAGAATTCCCATTGCTAAGCAAGGTGACTGTTAAGTGGGACATGACCAATTTTCCTACTTTTTTGCCACAGTTGTTAAACAATTCACTGTTGTTGCTAACTAAATTATGTGGTCGTTAAGCAAATCTGGCTTTCCCCATTGATTTTGCTTTGCTGAAAGCTGGCTGGGAAGCTTACAAATGGCAATCATACGACTCCAGGATATTGCAAACATCATAGATACATGCTGGTTGCCAAGCACCTAAGGTTTGATCATGTGACCCTGGAGATGCTGCAATGCTCGCTAAGTACAAGGACTGATCATAAGTCACTTTTTTTCAGTGCCGCTGTAATTTCAAACAGTTGCTAAATGAATAAGTCGAGAACTATCTGTATTCTATAAGCTTTCTAGAGCTGTAACAGACTGGGACAGCCCATAGATCTCATAAATAACAAATAAAGGTTTTCAAATATCTTCGAAGAAAGAGTGCTGTCAAAAACTCAAGCATATCTGAACAATCACTTATGTTTCAGAACAATGAAAGATCATACACTCCCTGATCTTGCATTATAGCTCAATTCATGACCTCAGAAATCAGTCATAAATTTCAGGCTGAGGATAGTGGATGTGTTGAGTAACTCAGATGAACTGGGCAAAACTGCACTTGTTATTAAAGCCTAGACCTGTATATAAGTTGAAGGAGCCTAATGGGTGTAAAGAACAAACACAAATAACATCAATATTTTGGGAAATTTAAGCTTATAATTTAATATTATATAACTATTGCTTATCCTATGTAAAAAGAATTGTCACCTGTTATACCTATTAACTCCTGAATACCAAGCAGCAGCTATTGTTGCATTGATGACTACATCTACAGGAATAAGATCGGCAACTGCATTATTTGAGGCTCGCATTGTTCTAAGAATTCCTTTTCCTGCCTTAAAATAAAAAAAAAATACACATTAAGAAAGCCATTTCAAATAAATTCAGTTTTTAAGAGAAAAAAACCCCCTTCATTTAAACTGTTACTTACAGCAATAAAAAGGCCACTAGGTCCATTAAAGTTATCAATCCATCCCTGTTGAGAAATAACATAATGAACAATGAAATATTTTGTATTGTGTATTGTGTTTTAATAAAACTAAGCTTTTTTTAATCAAATGTCTGAATATCTAATATTATATTACATTCATACCTGAAACATTCCGTATCGTTAAAGAATGTGCTTTTTTAGAAGAGAAATGTGTAGATAAGAAATGACAAATGTTAGTTATGAATACCAACATGTACTTGTTTTAAAATATTTATTGTTTTACTTAATTGCTGTATGCTGCCCAAAGTCACTGTTTGTGCATTGGGGCAGCTATATGAATTTGCTAAATAAACAAACATATCCATTTTCAAAAGGCTTACGAAATAATGATTCTTTAGCATAGCTATGTTTATAGAGCAGTTTTTGATCCAACAGATAAAAAATCTTATTAGACATGAAAGCTGCACTGACTGCTTTATCAATAGGTATCTTCTTCTCCCTCTACTCCCCAAAGCCTCATATATTACACCTGTGATCAGACATAATGGTAAACTGGGATTTTGGAAGATCTTATAAATGTACTTTTACCCCAACTTGGCTCTTGAAGCTAGCATGAATAACTCAACAAAGGAGAAATTGTCTTTTTTAGCATTCCGTTTAAATAGGGATCCTAATCTGTCCCTCCCAACCCTCTCGTGTTTTCAGTCTAAGAATTAACACAGTTTGAGGATAAAGTTGGAATTCAGAGTTTGAACAATATACAAATAGATCACTTTTTGGCTTAATATATTGTACAAACCTAGTCAATAACTGATGGTAACATAAACCATACCTTAATACAACCTGAAAACTTCTTTAATAGAACTATTTCCAGTTTAGTTACTTATAATGGAAGAACTAACCAGGAACAAGGCATGCTCCAAGAACTGATACATTCATGGTATAACCGAAATATCAAGAATCCTGGTTTACTTTGCAAGTCAATATATCCACTGCTTAAAAATACTCATCTGCATGAGTTTAATACAGTTGTGACATTTCAGAAGCATGAATTACAGGAATTATATATCAAAGGAATTGTCAAATTTTGAATTACTTCATCAGCAAAAATAGGTCTTAGAACAAGGAAATATTCTGCTTAGTTCTCATTATGATAAAATGAGCAGATACTAAAATTTAAGGATTTGAATTAGTATCTGCTTAAACTGATACTATTAGTGCTAATATGCTATGAATGCAAAAGGCTCTGTAATTACTTTCACATACATATCAAGAAAGTAGGAATGTTTTTTTCAAGAGCTGTTTTAACAAGGTGCTCCAAAGGAACAACTGCTACATGGTGGTAGCGGTAGATTAAAATATATTGCTAGTATTTCTGAAATATCCTGTTCAACAATCTAATTATTACTAATTATATGTTAACCAATACTTGTTATTGTAATATAATTGAGCAGTATAGGTTCTTGTAGCTGGATATATGAATTCTTTACAAGAGAGAAGCTATAATTTAGAGGCAGGTACTTGCTTTGCATGTAGAAATACCAAAGTTTGATCCCCAGTTTCCTCAAGTACACATTAAAGAAAACCCAAGTGTGAATTTCTGAAGACTCCCAAATAGTCAACAGAGATGATGTTGACCTTGAAGGATCAATTGCCAAAAATTATGTAAAGCAGTTTTCTGTATCGTCTTGTATTTTGGATCAGCAAAGACCCACACAATCACATGCTTTTCCTTCACAAAAGAAATTTAAGGCAGAAACCAGAGGCAGGTCAGCCTACATCCAACTTTTCACATAACTCTTTCCAATGTCTGAACAATAAAGATAGCTCAAAGTTCAACAATAGATACTAATTACAAAATATTGACAAAGAAAAAATAATAAACACTGACTTACAGGGAAAGGCTCCTTCCAGCTGGCACCCACAATTGATGGCCTCACAATGGCAATATTTAATTTTGTACCTTCCTGCTGTACAATGTATTCTGCTAAGGCTTTTGTATATGTGTAGGTATTGGGTCTATCTCCAATTAATTTTGGTGTAATATCATTTACTAGACTGTCATCCATCCACCTGAGAAATAAAATATAATATGTTAATATATAAAGTATCACCGCTTTCAAGTGTCCAACAAGCATAATATATATCTTGTAACAACTTTCTTATTTATTTAGAAATTTTATATGGCTGCCCAACTCACTCTCAGTAACTCCAAGCATTTTATAAGGATAAAACCCCAACACAAAGCCCAATACCATTTCCTACCAATTAAACTAAGCTACCTTTTTTTTAATTTCAGGGCTAAAGCACTTCAAAGATAAAAGTATTTTGCTAAAAATCTAACACCAGGTCCACTTGTAACAAAGAGTAGTTAAACATGTCTCCTTACCCGCTACACTAGAAAATCAATTTGAAAGGACATATTTTATTGTAAGAGGCTTAATCAAGTTATTTTAAATCTAAGAGTTGTCATTTTCGAGGCATTGGTTTTTAGTTTCATTTAAATATGATGAAAATTAGCATCAAAAAAGTAAATTAGTAGCTGCAATTAGTAATAATTTCATGGAAGGAAAACCTAATTTCTTATACCACTGTTTAAATCAGGGGTTTTCAAACTTGGCAACTTTAAGACTTGTGGTTTTCAACTGCCAGAATTCCTCAGCCAGCCATAATGGCTGAGGAATTCTGGGAGTTGAAGTCCACAAATCTTAAAGTTGCCAAGTTTGAAGACCCCTGGTTTAAATCATTAATAGTGAACTGAATCTGTATTAAGAGTGCAATTCTAAAAGTTCTACTCAAATTAAAGTCGAACTTTACAAGTTTACTCCTAAATACACAGAATTGCAGCCTTAGGTGTTCTTCAAATCTACTGAAATCAACCTGAAAAATGTAATCATGTTTACTCACTTCCATTTATTTCAATAAGTCACAATGAAGTTATGCCTGAACTTCAGACTTAGAGAATAGCAAATGGGGCTAGCTAGGGGAAAGGTCATACTAAAAGGAACAGCTAAAAAGCTTAATTTCATTAAGACCTTCCAAATTTAAAAGATAAGATAACCTTTATTGTCATTTTTTTTACTATGGGCACAACGACACACATCAAAAATGAAATTTAGTTGCCCGCTCTCAAAGTGAACAAATACATGACACACACCTAAACATACTATATACAACATATACATACTATATACAATATATGTATAGACTTACACCCCTACATATACACACAAAAGCACACAGCTTGTTCATTCTAACTGAACCGTTATCACACCTCAAGAAGAGTGTATTTATTAACAATTATAATGCAATTTACCACCAAAATTTCTAACTGAAAACCAGAAAAACAAACTTTGGTTGGATCCAGAATTTCACTCTAGACGAGCAGAAAAGAAAAATGTGATCTTTGCCAATCTTCTCCTCCCTCTGAAATTTCCAGCAGCAGTTTTGTATTTTATACAAACCAATATACTGGAGCAGATTTTCAGAGGGTACAGTAGTCCTCAACTTGTGAACACAATTGGGTAGCCCTTCATTTATTAACAAATAAATGAATACATTTCCATTGCTAAACAAGATAGTTGGTGAGTTTCTCCTGATTTTACAACCTTTTTTTGCCATGGTTGTTAAGCGAATCACTGTAGTTCTTTGGTGAACCATGCAGTCATTAAGCAAATCTGGCTTCACCCACTGACTCTGTTTGTCAGAAGTCAGGAGGGAAAGTTGCAAATGATGATCACATGATCCCAGAGCACTGCAAACATCATAATTATATGATAATATAATTATAATTATATGTTCACAGATGATACAACAGTAGTGGGCCTTATTCATGATGACAAGGTGGAAGCTTACTGCAAGGAGGTTGAGGGGTTGGTGAACTGGTGTAAGGAAAACAGCCTAGTTTAAATACTGGAAAAACCAAAGAGATCACTGTCGATTTCAGAAAAGGCAGGCACAGCCACACTTCTCTGTGCATTAATGATTCACCTGTGGAGATGGTTACCAGCATCAAATTCCTGGATGTGCAGCTAACGAGTAGGCTGGCTTGGTCGCTCAACAGTGAGAAACTGGTGAAGCGGGCACAGCAGTGCCTGCATTTTCTGCGTCGCATGAGAAAAGCACATCTTCCTTCCCCCTGTCCTGACCACTTTCTACAGGGGGACAATCAAGAGCATCCTGTCATACAGCATCACAGTCTGGTTTGGAAGCATCACTGCTTCAGACAGGAAGGCAGTGCAGAGAGTGGTGAGGATGACCAAAAAGATCATTGGCAGCTCCCTCCCTCCCATCCAGGACATAGCACAGAAGCGCTGCTTGAGCAGAGTCCGTAAGATCATCTGGGACACTACACAACCTCTTCACGACCTGTTTTCCTTGTTACCTTCTGGGAGGGGGCTTCGTGGTATCCGTAGCAGAACATCCAGATTCAGCCATAGTTTCATTCCATACAGCATTAACCTTGTGAACTCTCAAGCTTCCTCCTTCCGTTATATATTCAAATGGACAGTATTTAATATTTATTTGCTATGTATATGTAGGAGTGTGGGTCTATACATATGTTGTACATAGTATGTTTAGATGTGTGTCATGTATGTGTTTCACTTTGACAGCGGGCAACTAAATTTCATTTTTGATGTGTGCCGTTCTGCCCACAGTAAAATAAATGACAATAAAGGTTATCTTTTTATCTTTATCTTTCTTATCTTATAATCTTATCTTATCCTATCCTATCCTATCTTATATATTGGCTACCAAGTGCCCAAATTCTGATCACATGACTGTGGGGAAACTGCAATGGTTAAGTGTGAGGACTAGTCATAAATCACTTTTTTCAGTGTCATGGTAACTCTGAATAGTCATTAAACAAATGGTTGTTAGTCAAAGACTACTTGTATAAAGTTTGAAATAGAAAATCTACAAAAAATATATTTTGCCTTTCCACCTACAGAAATGATCTGCTGGATCAAAAGTGCTTCAAACCCCAAAGAACCTTTTCTAACAAAGCTAGGATCTAACCCCCTTATATCTAAATATGCAAGTTCATTGTAAAATATTAGTGAAAGTACCAAGCAACTATATCGGGAGTTAATTCAAACCAAAAATGATCTTAAATTAAAACCCAACTCTTAATCATCATCTCCTAATATTCTCAATAGAAAAGGAAAAATATTAAAGAATACATACTCTAAGGAATCTATTAATTTCTTAGGATCAACAGGAGGTGGATAAACAACTTCCTCAATGTGTTTTCGATTGCAGTATGCAAATGCTGTTGAAACATGGACAAACACATCTAGATTCTTGATTTTCTGAGCCAAGAGGAGAAGCTGTTGTGTTGCAATGACATTGAGCTGAACAGCATCCCTGTTGAAGTAAAAGAAAAAAACCATAAGAGCTAAAGTCTTTGTGCCATGAACAGCAGCTCAAGAAAGAAAATGCCTAGTGTAAAAACAAAGCATGTAAAATAATAGAGAATTCAATCATTTTTCCGAGACAAACTTAAATTTCAAATTACAAATTGTCATACTCTTTAATTCAATTATCAATTAAGCAAGTATATTTTTAAGTCTTAGAAACAGTAAAACGTACAGGTAGTCCCCTTAGTGACCATTTGTTCAGCAACCATTTAAAGTTATGACAGTGCTGAACAAGGAATTATGATTGGTCCTCAAAGTTTGGCTATTGCAGATCACTGGTCACATGATTGCAATTCAGGTACTTGACAACCAACATGCATTTATAATGGTTGCAGCATCTTTTGGTCACCATTTGCAACTTTCATAGACAGCTGCCAACAAGTCAACAGGGAAACCAGCAGGAAGTCACAAGTTATGCTCATGTGATTTTGCACTTAAATTGATGATTTGCGTAATAAACACAACTGGACTAGAGGAACTGCATTCATAAGTCACGTATATGGTCATGTGTTTTTGCACTTTATGACTGCATCTCTTAGTGATGGAATTGCTGGTCCCAAATGTGATTGGTAAGTGAAGATTACCTATGTAGTAAATATAAATTAATACATTCATTCTTACTCAGAGCCAAGACATTAAGGCTTGACAAAGTAATACATTTTTTCTCTTTAAAAGTTTACAAAATCAAGACTTTACACCAAAAATATTAGAAACTGTGTTAGTTTTAATAAAACATACTCACCGTAGGATTTCATTGAATCGTACGGTAGCAGCACAATGAAATATAATATTAACATAATTTAGAATACTCTTCTTGTCTTCCTCACTAAGGGCCATTTCTACTTCTGTAAGATCACTGGCAACTGGAACAATTTTCTGTTTAAATTCTGGTTGCTCATCTCGTAATCTATCAAAAAGCTATAAAAAAGAAGCAGGACAAGACATTAAACAAGACAAAAATAGAGCGCTCATACAATTCTCAACACTAATCTATGATGGGCATGTTACTTACATTTAAGCAACATATCACACATTCCAGGCAGGAGTTTTGATATATACATCTCGTGTACATTTGATAAGGATGGATTGTGTAATATTCATTATTCCAGTAATAATTACATACAATATAATTAATACATTGATGTTACCTTGTTACAGACTGCTGGCAGTATGCAACATCAACATCTTGCTAAATGTCTCAAGAGTGTAAGGCTTTGGATAGGGTAAATCAAGTCGAAATTGAATCCAAGCTAGTTGGAATTTCCATTAGCCTATCAAGGTTTCTCCAATGGTATCGTTTGAGAAGGCAGTATTGCCCTTGCAAGAGCAAGTCTATTACTTTAGGTTCTGCTAGAGCTAGACTCATAGAACTTGCTACATGTGTAGGCGGAATATGTGTAGGCGGCCAGGGATGTGTCTGCCTAGCTTTAACCCATAAACCAGTTACAGCGTTGAATTAAAGTAATAATAATAATTTTAACATTTTTTATATCACCCAACTGCCAGTTGACAGTTGGGCATATTTGGCTGACATGGGCATATTTCACCTGTATTCTAGCCCTCCCCTTGTCACCCAGGGCCTAGGAGGAAGCTACAGGCTGTTGGGGAAAGCAATGAGCACTAGGTTAGAGATGCTATATTGGTCTTGGGGGCCCCGCTTACAGGTTGGGGGATGTTGATGGCCCTGCTTTTTGGCTCCCTAAATGAGCTCCGGATCTGTGCCATTGGGACTTTATTTGAAACTCAGGGGTATGTGGTTTCCCTAGCTTTATCTCTGGGGGTGTCATCACCCTCATTTTGGTGGGAGGGGAAATTTACTCTTTCACTGAAGGGGCTTGCCCCCAGTTTCCATCGAGTGTTTGGGTAGGTGTGGCCAAAGGGTGGTGGGTTCCCTAAAGTGCCAGTTAGCTTATTGGGGACAATGAGTTCAGTGCATGTGGGATCAGTTGATGTGAGATTATGTACTTAGCCTGGGAAAAAGAAGTGAAAGATGGGAGGCCAATGGGCAAATGGAAGTATGGTAGGAACTCAGGGGCAGGCTTCACTCAAGGACACCGAGAGCTTTTTGAAAGTGATCCTGGTGTGTAAACCCTCAGTGTACCCACAGTGACTGGGCTATCAGATGCTTGGTGGTCCTAGGCTTCGGATGCTGCTTTTGAAGACCAGCACAGTATGTAATAAAGTGTTTCTCATTCATGAATAAGGGCATTTGGCCTGGTATCTCTCACAAAAAACTAACCGCTCCCCTCTTGGAACCTTCTGAGTTCAGGTTTAGCGTCAGTTGAGATTAAAGGGGAAGGGGAGAGGTGGTGTGGCTTTAGTCATACACGAATCTTTATGTGGTCTTAGAGGCTCTGCTCCGCAGTTAATCATATGTTGAGGTGTTCTGGTTGAGGTTGAACTCTAGGGAACAATTGAGATGTTGCTAGGGTACTAGCCTCCCAGCAGCATCACTGCCTCTACTGCTAATTCTTTTGCTGGGTTGCCAATAAAGTTGCAAAGGCTGTTGGTGCTCAGGGATTTCAATCTGCCACCTGATGACATTTAATCTGAAGCAGTACAGGAGTTTGTGGCCTCCATGGCAACCATGGAACTGTCCCAAGTCATCAATGGTCAGACACATACCAGCATCTGGACATTGGATCTGTTTTTTGTCTCAGAGCAATTGCAACATGATCGGATGGTAGAGAATATTACAGTCAGTCTACTGCCTTCTGACTAGCTGGTATAAAATGGGCCCTACCTCCCTGCAAGGATGTAGTCTTATTGTGTGATCTGAGATGAGTATCAATGAGTATTCCCTCATTGAGAAAGGGGATAGTGCCTATATCCTCAAAAGGGACAGCGGTATGCCCCCTTCTCAAGAGGTCATCCTCAGACCCAATGCTCCTAAATAACTATCATCCCATCTCCAATCTTCCCTTTTCAGTTAAAGTTGTTGAAAATGTCAGACTGCAGTTGCTGAGAAGTCTGGAGAAAGCAGAATATCTTGTTCAGTTTCAGTCAGCTTTCAGTACAGAGATAGCCTTAGTTGCCCTTGCCGATGACCTGTTGCATAGCCTAGAATGATGGAGGTGATACACTCATCCTTGTGCTTCTTGGTGTGTTGCTAGTTTTCAATACTGTTAACCATAATATCCTTCTGGATAGGCTCTGGGGTTTGAGAATTGGGAAAATAATTTTCTGGTAGTTGTCTATCTTCTTTTGAGGTTAGTTCCAGTTGGTACTGGGGAAGGCAGAAGAGATCATTCTGTTGGGCCCTCTTTTATGGAGTACCTCAGGGTTCAATATTCTCTCCCTCCTATTCAAGATCTATATGAAACTGCTATCTGTTATTCACCACTTTGGCATTCAGAATCATCAGTATGAGACCCAGTATGATGTACTAATTAAGACACCAGGCTAGATTTTGAGTTCTAGTCCTGCTTTAGACACAAGACAGATGGGTAACCTTGAGCCAGTCACTCCCTCAGTCCTAAGAAGAATGCAATGGCAGATCACTTCCCAAAATTTTATCAACAGGGACGTGCCCAGGCAGACCCTAGGAAGCAAAACTGACTTGAAGGCATGCATTGTGCATAAACACACAGAGAATGCTACAACATCCAATTTAGGCCAAGCCAAGTACTTAGAAGCTGTGTGGATACGTTTTCATCCCAATATCAAAACTAAATGGATATTATTAAGGCCAGCTAGATCCAGGGAGATTCCAACTTTGACATAGGGTAGGGTTGTCCTTTACCACTGAAGGATTGTCTGCAATCTGGAGAGAGCCTTGAACTCCCAGCTCCTGCTCAATGAGCTAAGCTGTGACTAAAGGCCTTTGCACAGTTTCATCTGAGCTATCAGTTGCACCCTTGTGGTAGATTGGCATACTTTAGGCCTCTTCTATTAAATAGTGTCATCTTTTGAGATACAAGAGAGATACTTTCCCTGCTGCAGCACTTGCCCTCTGGAATGAAGCTGCCCTGGAATATGGGTGGCTTCCACCCTGATAGCCTATTCTGGAGGACCTTGATAATCTTTTTCAGGCCTTGGGCTAGGATGGTTGGATCTCCTTGTGAATTTTATGGTTGGATTCATCTTCTTGGTTTTTATTTGCTTTCTTGTTTTTTTTTTGCTGGTTTGTTTTCGAACTGTATTGTATTTTATTTTTTCTGTTGTACTGTAACAGAAAATTGTTTAAAATTGGATGATGTCTCAACTGTTTGAAATTGGATGGTGTCTCAATTAATTAAATTAAATCAATTGTATGTATTTCTTTGATTTGTGTATCACCCATCTCATCTAGAGGCGACTAGAAATTGAATTTTCAGTTCAATTCTTTATCTTATTAAGATCACTCCAAAATTTGTTGAATATAGAAAAATAAAATTTTGTACCACTGGCAAATTCTATAAAATGTTTCTCTACCTTTTCACTCAAATCCCTTCTTACGACCCCATAATACCTTAATTCGGGGTAGATTCAAATCATTAATAACAAATTTGAAAATTATTAGATCCGGACTCCTGTGATGCTCAATTCATTTTAGACCAATGAAAAGTCATTGATAAGCATTATTTTAGTATCATTTCAAGCCAGCTAATATATTAGGTATATTAGCCAGCCCAAATTTAACTATCTTGGTAAATAGAATGTTGTGGCTTACTTTGTTAAATCCTTTGCTAAAGTAAAGTATATTGTATGAATAACATTTATATATTCTACTAATGAGCTAAGATTAGTTTGGTAAGACCGGTTTTTGAGAAAACCATGCTGACTTCTGTAATAGTTCTATTATTTTCAAGGTGCATACACGCTTTTTTGATCTGATCTTCCCAAGTTGTCAGATTGATCTGAATTCCCTGGATCTTTCTTTCTCCTTTTCCTTCTTCTTTTGGGCGGTGGGGATGGGGGCAATAGACAAACATTCATTTAGTACTTCATCAGACTTCTCAAATGGAGAGAGATTCAACAAGTTTCTTCACTATCATACAATATTTCTGAAAGTCTAATCTCACGTAAAGTCAGTAGGAATCCACATTATTATATTCTCAAGTTCAAATCACACTTCAATCAGTATTTCACATTTAACAGAATAACAGAGTTAGAAGGGACTTGCAGGTCTTCTAGTCAAACCTTCTGCTCAAGCAAGAAATCCTATACAACCATTTTAGACAAATGGTTGTCAAATCTCTTCTAGCCTGGTATAACACATATCCTCGTCGCTATGTAAGTCAATATAAGAGAAGAGTACTTCTATCTTTTCTTTGTATTCTTTCGCTATAACTACTAAATACCTCTTATATTGTTTCTCCATTTATTTGAAGACATAAATATTTTATTGTTCTTCATATTCCAAACTCAACTCATTCTGACCTTTAACTTCTTGACATTTTTCAGGGCACCTATATGTATTCTTCTTTGATCACCTGCCTCTGTCTTTCCACCTTCGACATGTCCTTTTGTTTTCAGATTTTCGTGAATATTTTTGTGCAGGAACAGTGAATTATTTAGTTGCCTCTTCGCCACAGAATGTGCTAATGGTCTGACACCAGTAGTTTTAAAAGAAATGTTTGACATTCAAGAATGACAAAGGTTTTGGGCAAGAAAGCAAAATAGCCTCTAAATAAACTCAAACCAAAGGATTCTTGCTACTTCTGTAGGTTTATGTTAATGATAAAAAATGAGTACTATATAGTCATGTAGTAAAACATTACTCCAACATGTGTATTCTCTTATTTTTAGTCAAAACACACTTCAAAAATCCTAAAAACATTGTAATAAACATGTTTTCTGAAATCATACCTTGCAGTGGATCATTTCTTCTACTCTTTCTTGAGATGTCTTTCCTGCTTTATATCTCACCAAAACATATATTGCCTTTATCTTTGGACAGGATCGTAGTAGCTTTTCTAGAAGAACTTTTCCCATGAAACCAGTAGCACCAGTGAGGAGGACATTCTTGCCTTCATAGTATTCCGGGATAGATACCATTATGATCTGAAGAGAATTTAATAGTAAGTTATGGCCTGCATCCATGCTGTCGGTCAATTTTATTTTATGTGCTCAGTTTTCACAGGATTAGATATCAAATTTCATTACTACAATGTATAAAATCCTCCCCAATGTAAATGAAAGAAAACCAGGCTTTCTGTCTTCTATTTTCTTTATACTCAAATAGTACAAAGATTATGTACATGTATATATAATGGGAAAGCCTAAACTGTAAATGTATAAATGTAAATTAAAATAACAACCCTTAGAATTATTACCTATTATCTGGAACAGGCATTGCATAAAATACTGAAATTAAATTAAGAAATACAAGAGGAAATAAGCAAAAAAAACCCAAAAACCACCAGCCATTAAAAATGTAAAAAAAAATACTTAATATATAATTGCTGGCAAAGTTGCCTAAGATATCATCCAAAATGATGACTAATCAAACAACAACAACTGGCTTTTTAACCCATCATCTAGCATTAATCGATGTCGCTTAATGCTTAGAATTTGACTTGATGATAGAAAATATCTAATCCCATTTGATCCATCATCAATTTGGACAAGACAATCACTCAAAATTGTCTTGCTACATTGGCAAATATGCGTCTGTGTTGTTTCAAATATATAACCCTCATGGTAACTGGAGACATACTGAAACCTTCTGGATAAAGTACTAATGCAATTTTCTTAAAAAAAAGAAAAGAAAAGAAAAAATTATTTCAAAGCAACCACAATCTGCTTATAGATAAAAGCTTTGTGTAGTAAGGAAATGGCTATACTCAAGTAAGTAAAGCAATGGATAAAAGGCAATGGATTTGCTTTCTATTTCTTTTCAGTATAGCAACTGAACCTTTTCTCTGAAATTAAAATAAGTTTATTCAACAAGTAGCAGTTCTTTTTCCAACCAAGACCCACTTATTCTAAATGGGCTCTTTCCCTTGTCTTATCTTTCTTTTCACTCTAATTATCCTCTCCCCTCCCTTCTCCTTCTCCTCCAAATACCTTGCCATTTCATTTCCTTAGTTAGTTTTCAACAGTGTACAGATAGTCCTCAACTTATGACAATTGAGCCCAACATCTGTTGCTGATTGAGTTTTGCCCCATTTTGCAACCTTTCTTGCTACAGTTGTTAAGTGAATCACTGTAATTGCTAAGTTAGGAGCACAGTTAAATGAATCTGACTTCCCCATTGACTCTGCTTGTCAGAAGGTTGCAAAAAGTGATCACAGGACACTGCTACTATCATGAGTCAGTTGTCAAGCACCTGAATTTTGATCATGTGAATGCTGCAATGGACCTAAGTGTGAAAAACAGTCATAAGTCACTTTTTTTGGTGCTGTAACTTTGAACGACCAATGAACTGTTGTAAGTCGAGGACTACCTGTAGGTCGTCACCATTTAATTCCCCTTGCCTTTTCCTTCATCCACTGTTTTTTCTTCAGTCTCAGTGATTTGCCTTTCTTGCTGCTTGCTCCTTCATGCCTTTGTTGTAGGCTTTTAAACCCTTCCATCCCCTTTTGTAAATGCAAACGTAAGAATCTAAGTGCCATCTTTACATTTGGAAGTACAGTAGCTTTTCGTTTTGCAGAGATGAAGTGGGAGAAGGATAGCACAGGCATCTCTATTTTTTACATAGCTGCACTTCTCTTACAGCCCACTACCAAGATACAGGGTTTTATAAATGTCTTGCTCAGAGATAAAACTTTAAAGCAGCAGGAGAATGCAGCAAAGGAGAGGGAAACCTAAGAGCCAATGACCGTAAGAACTTCCTGACAAAATGTATTGGTCAAGAGGATGAACTATTAAGAAATATTAACGGCGATAGACACAACTCAGAATCCGTTGAGATCTAAGCTCGTAACAAAAGTTCTTAACAAAAACATGAAATTTAAACAATGCATTTTTGTGATCAGGTAAAGGTCAATCTTAGCTGAGCTCCATCTGAGAGACTTAATCTGTTTTTTCTGTTACCAAGCTTAGTTGAACATTCTACTTGTACGGTCAAAGAGCTTTGCACTGCAGACTTGCAGAAGAAAGGTTGCTGGAATCCTTGCAAAATGCAGCCCGTTAATTGAGACTAAAAATAGGTCCTCATGTGTCTCATCACTACCACTTTAATTAAATTAGTGCTCTCACAAAGGAGCGGGATTTTGTTAAAACCAGTAAGTCGTCTTCCTATTTAGTATCAGGCAACCCTTAGTAGAAATTCCAGGTCTATTAAGGAAATTTATGAACTGGGTGAAAAAACAATGATACTCTAAATTCTGAAATAGCATCTCTTTCCTTACCCTGCTTAGACCTCTCGTGGTTTTATACATTTCAGACTTACAACCATATGATTCATTTAATGACTGTATTATTCACTTAACAACTGTGGTGACTCACTTAATGACCCTCATAAAAACAGTCACAAAAATTGATTCTGATCATATGTGATTCCACTTACGATGGCAACGTATAACCAATCTTCTGGGCTCAATTGTGGCTGTAAGTTGAGGACTATCTGTATATAGCTTTCATGCAGAACTTTGCTTTTTTTAATGAATAAATCACTAATTGGTTGCAATGTTTTTTAATTGCAATCCAAATCCAGCTGCAGTAAAAACTAAAAAGATATTATGTCACTAAGCCAATAATCAGGACTCTGATAGCATCTTTTCACTGGGTAATATAATTAAATTGAAGAGTACCTGTATAAATGACCAAATTATTGTTTCTGGTCTGTTGCAATTAAGAATCAACAAAATGTAATTAAACATTGCAATATCAATTCATTTGATGGGTTTAAAAGGCGAATACTTTGCATTCAATTATTCTATATAATTTTTGTTTTATATGTAATTATGTTAGCATATTAATCCCCTCCATTCATGCTGCTTTATGATGGTGGAGGGTGTTGAATGACTTGACAAGCAAGATAAAAATATTGTACATAAACAAGTCACCAATAGCAGTGTGAAACTGCAATTCTTCAAAGCTGCAAACTACAATAATGCTGTGTGCTATAATCCTGAATAGTTGAAAGTGCACCAAAAATGTTTTAATAAGCCAAAAATAAACTCAATTTTATTCTTGAGGCAACTGTTCTCATTTTACTTTTTTGCCTTTAAATAGGCTATAAACTATTTTTAGATGAAATACATATTCATATGCCCTTGACTGCATATTATTCCTGATAAAAATGTACCAATTATTGTAAGTTGGCAATTTTGGGAGAGATGCCTTGCCTTTTGACAGAAATATTTGATCACACAGTGATTTTTAAAAAATTTCTATGAAACACAGAGCCACAGTTCTAGTACTAGAGCCAAGATGTTATCTCAATAAAAGGTGCTATTGTCTAAAGCTATCTAAACACCATTGTCATATGCACAATAGCTGCTCTGTTGGAGCTCCTGTACCATTTCATCTCTGATTTGTTGAAATATCAGCTTTACTAGTTGTTGTTTTTTCAGAACCCAAGTTTTTAAAAAGAAAAAGGGGTAGAAAACCTGAAGAAGAGAGAATCACTATAGATGAAAGTTGGATTTCTAGCTAAGCTGTTTTGTTACAATAATATTAAAAAAAAACTTGGGGCTTTTCAAAGTGCAACATATTGTGAGAATTCAATATATTTTTCCTGTTGTGCTAATGGTGACATTGTGTGCTTGCAACAGATGGTATTACTGATACATCAAATTTGGAAAAATATACAAAAAATATGACATTTTGGTTAGCAGATTTTCGAGCATATTGTTCCAAATATTGCATCACTCAGACAATACAAGTCAGCAGTATAATTCAATAATTTTAATACAGCAAAGTTCTAATGAGCTAAAATCAAGTCCTTGCCTCCAAGGCATAAGGGCTGGAACAGAGCTATGGACACATTTTACTGCTGCAGGCAAAATATTGCAAACAGAGCAAATCTTATGTCTCCACCTGCAGCTCAGAACTGATAACTCAGGAATGCAATATGGTTCTAGACTCTAGACTCTGAAAACAGAATACTATATTTCTGCTTTTGAAGAACCCTCTGGGCTTATTTGCCTCACCAGAATCTAGGTCTTTTAATCACAAACAAGATAATGGAAGCAAGAGCATGGGCTTCTCTTTTTATATACAATATAAATCTTTATTGAAAAACAAGTTATTGGCTGCCCCTGCCTTTGCCACAAATCAGAAAATCTGAAGGGCAATAGTATCTATATTACTACTGATATAGCCAGACTAAAAAAACCAAATATTTAAAACCAGCAAATATCTTATAATTTAGACATCCATAGGTGGGACATCAATGGTCTTGCTTTTAATCCTTTTATGACATCCAGGATCTGGATATCGGAAGGTGGGAGCCTTATAAATTATTTAAATTAATAACACAACAAATAGGACTTTCAATTTATGTACAGTATACTGTAGCCTCTATACAAGTTCTTCTTGCCAGAACTTTAAGCAGGCTGCCCATTTATAACTGTACTTTACTAAGTGATTTTCCAGAAAGGTGCAACAAGTTGGACCATTTCCCCGGTGTTCAATTCAGAATGGAATACTTTTTAAAGCAATTAAACCAAGGGCTGTACAAATGTAACACAACCTGATCATTATTTGCTATAAATAAACCATTTTGAAATATGAATGATTTCAACTATCTCAGAAAAACTAAAATCGTTTACAAAAATCATTTAAAAAGGAAATGAATTTATGTAAAGGCTTTGTAATAAGAACTCATCCAACATGAAGAAATATTTTCAGTTATAAACAGGATATTCAACCAAGTTTAAAAGTATTGCTACATCCTAAACTGCCATGGAGAGCATTACGTGCTTCATTTTAACCACTATACATAGACTGAAGTATTTTGTACATGTAGATATTTCAACATACAGTGAAAAATATTTCTAACAAAAAAATCCCTCTTGAATTTCCTATGCATGCTTGTATTGTAATTGGAAGACAAAATGCCATACTTTTTTACTATCCCCTGTCATGAGTAGTCAGAGTGAGGATCTTCTTCC